CACGCGCTTTTTGGCTTGTTGAGTGCTTTGGGGTCCTGCTTCTGGGCTGTTGGGGTCTTGAGGGTGTCTAGGCCGTCCTACCTGCAAGAGCCAACCACTTCCGGACTTCCCCCGACCGCACACCTAGGCACAACTTCTATGTCGGCGACGGCTTCCATCCACTCCATTGAGTAGCTTTTGTGATTGTGCTGGTGTGCAATCTTCCCTAAAACCCTACAGACCCTACACGTAGCCCTACAGCCGCTTCGGCGATCTTAAAAAAGGCTTCTTGGAGCCCTTCAACCCAGCAGCCCACTCCGGCTCGCCCTCCAAGCTCTGAACTGGCGATTCGTGCAAAGCCGAGCACACAAACCCCATGGCCCACATCCCAGACGTCCCGGTTCCTTTCTGATTTCTGGGTCCCCGGCTGTATAGAGTTCAAGTTGCAGGCGATCGGCACATGCCGTGAGCGTCACTCCGCGTTTCACGAGCGAGATGCCATCATCAGCTCTGTTCCCAAAATTGTTTGTGTCATGATGCTTGTAGATTGCACTCAATTCGTCGAATGGCAGTCGTCTGTGCTGCAGCAAGAAAGCAGCTTGTTGAGTCGTTGTCTTACCTCGGTGGCGTTTACGTGTGAGAGTGTGCAGGGCCGCAGGCGAGCCGAAGAAGATAGGACATTAGCATACGTGGGACTCCCTTCGGAGTTTTCTTGCGCATGAAGACTTTCGATTGCCCAGAGACGCTCGTCCAAATACTGTATGTAGGTCCTACCTTGTCCTACACTGCTACGACCCCTCAGCCGAAATCCCCTGCTCCATGGACCACCTTAATGTCAGATCCCTGTAATCAAGAAAACACTCATGCTTAACAAACCACTGGCCCCAATCCTGCACCCTCGAAGACCTCGAGCCCAAAACTCAGGCCTGCCACGAGTCCAGAAGCTCCCAGAGCTCCGGAGCCATCCTAAAGCCATCCTAGGCCCTAAACATCCCCAAAGCATCCCAAAGCCCAAGAAGAGCATACGAGGTTGGTCCAGAACGTCGAGTGGGAGAGCGCCTCCTCCAAGTTTCTCGGAAAGAGCGCGAGTTAGGCCTCCCCCAAACCCGGCCTCCCAAAGCCCGGGCCCCCCCCCCCCCCCGTGGTGGGTGACCTGGGGTTCTGGCTGGGGTTCTGGGGGGCTTATGTGCGCGCGCACAGGGCTTACAGAGGTTAGGACATCGTTGGCGCAGAGCTTGTCTTATGGAGAGCTTTTTCCCAAAGGAATCCTTGCATGATCTTTGCGGCCCAGTTCAGCAAGGACTTGGGATTTTGGCAACGGCCTGGGCTCTCACAGTCAATAAAGCTGCTTGAGTCTTGCCCAGCGGAGGCTCGTGTGCTAAACCCGCCATGCAGCTAGAGCCGATCATCTGTGCCACAAAGGAACTGCAGTGCAGACCACCGGCCGGTCCTGTCGGCATCAACCCGGAACCTTGCTTCGAGTTTGTGCTTTTGTAGCGCTTAGCACCCTGAGACTTGGCGCAGGACGCAACCAGCAACATGATTCTGGCCGGCGGGTCGCAAGAGAACGAGGCCATGTTCGGGAAAGTCTTGGTTTTGAAGGAGTTGCGTTGAATCCTTCGGGCATGTGGGCTGTTCGGAGGCTTCAGCAAATGAGCCTGCTTTCGGCTGGAACACCAGACCCTCAACTCTCACAGCATCTCGCGGCCCTCTAAAGGGTTTTCAGTTCATCTCAGTTCGTGTTTCAAGTCGTGCAAATCAGCAAGACCCATCTAAGTCCGCTCAGCATTCAACGGGCCTGAATACACCGACAAGGCTCTACTGTCCCCCGCTCTCAGGCGAAGTTCTTCCTGCGCCAGCCAGGCGCGCAGCCTGTGCCTTTCGGGGCTCTGGTGGCGATGCCGCCCCCTGGTCGCTTTTGAGTTGTTGAAAGTCGCGTGCACTTGTACCCCCAAACCCCGAAGAGCAGGCCTCTACATTTCAAGTGGCCATGTTTCGTACACGCGTGCTGTTTGAACTTTCGTTTTCGAACAAAGCCCATAATGCGAAAAGGAAAACGACAATACAATGCCAAAAATGCCAAACACAAATGCAGGCGGTCCTCTTAAGACGAGGTGGGTTTGTGAAAAGAGAATCAAAAACACTGAGCGTGAAAGAGCGAAGGTATGCTTCCACCCTTCCTCGGGCCGTCTGTGCTAGCTTGAGACATTCAGGTAACGGCGTTAACGGTCCAGCGCCCTGCCTCTGTGGGAATGCAGTGCTCTACCGTATCCCTTGATTCTGAGGAAACCCGTCTTCACCGTGGACTGGTCTGCTGGTGGGAAGTATGCGGCGCTGTGGCTGAAGCTACCGCGGGCTGCGTCTTCCCGGAAACCCTTCAAAAAATGGGCTTGGGGTTCTGGACTCTATCGGGAATCAGACTGTTCGGGCGTAGGGCGAGAACAACCGACTGCCGAGGCGGTGGGATCTGCTGATGGCCAAGTGCGCGTGATGGAGGTTCTTTGAGGAGGGGGAAACCCTCAAGCCCACGGGTTGATGCAGTGGAATGGACTTGAGAGACTCGCGGCCTCTAGACTGGAAGGCTTCGAGGGCCTAAGTGTTTGCAGTCCGAGTCATGGCCGGGTGTAGGGAGGTTATGTCCTAGCGCCCTTGGGGCGCAGGTGGGTATTGAGGATTCTCGAGGATTGCTCCCAGCAGGGGAAGTCTTCCAAACATAGGCAAGAAACACGGCTAACCTCAGCGACAGGTACCCTTAGCTGCTTTGTTCCCCCAACGCAGTAGAGCCGACGCGCCCGAAACCCCACAGCAGTCCGGCTCGAAGCCCGCCAGCGCCAGGACAGCCCATGAAGTTCTCACAACCCTGGCTCCGTGAGAAAATCCACGGCTGTCAGGCTGAATGTGTGGATTCTTCAGCTCTGGGGGTCTAGCCGTGGTCTAACCCATACGGGCTCTAAGGTTTGGATCTGGCGATGCAGTTGTCGTGTAGTGCATTCTCCTCTCGGCTGGAGGGACTCCCGGAGGGACTACAGTGTCCCAGGGACAGGGGATCGCTTTCGGAGCGTAGGTCTCAGGGCTCCAGGTTGAACAGCCGCAAACCCAGGTCTACAGTTCGGTAAGGAGAACTAGAAGTGGAAGTCAATGTTGGGATTCAGGGGATCGTAGATCGCAAGATCCTGGCGCATCTGCAACCCCCAGCGCCTGAAGCTCCGTGCCGTAGAGTGCCCCGGTCAGCTGCCAAAGCCAATGCAGCGGCCACCTGCTTGAGTCGGCTGCGGGAGAACGTAGATTTAGGGTTTAGGGCGTTTATAGGGTTTAGCTAGTTTAGCTGCCGAAATCCCAACCCAGAACTGCAGGAAACTCTCGCTTTTAAATCCAGAACTGCAACTGGCACTGCACGAAGAAAACCCGCAGAAAACTCCAAAAAGCGCAATGTTCAGTCGCCCACGTCGTCCGCCCTGCTTACAGGTGTTTCTGTCACGTGGAGCGAATGATAAGCCGAAGACAGGAGGGGAAAAGGCAATGCCAACGAGCATGGCATCTAACGTCTGCCCCTAAGGCCTCAGCCGCGAAACCTAGACGACCCCATGAAGACCTCGCCACGACGCGTCTGCATTTCTGGCCATGGCCATGGCGACCAAGGATCTACGGATCCTCCAACTAGGTAAGTCTTCTTGTGCCACAGAAGAGGACAACAAGCCTGTGCAGCTCATGCGGGTGCGCAGGGCGGACGTGGGCGATTGAGAATCGTTCTTCTTGGAACTTCTCCGGACCTGTTGCTTTCCTAGCGGTCCTGACAAGTTTAACTCCCGCAGCCGAAAACAGGCTTAACTTGGGGTTGAAAGGCTTATGCTCCGAGACTCCAGAGACCCTTGGTGGTAGCTGGAGGACATGCGCAGTTGTCAAGTTGTACAATAGAAAGCTCGTTTCGCGATCTGCGCACAGCATCCAGGGCCCAGGCCAGAGTGTGACCTCGATGCACCAGGACAGAGATACAAGCTGCTCACGCTTGGCTTTAGGCCTTAGGTTTTGGGCTTAGGGTCTCAATCTTGTCCAGAGCTCACCGAAAAGAGACCCTCAATTGCCCTCAATGCGTTCGCTTTGCACGTAGCTTGTGATTCTTGGTATGGCATAGGCAATGTTCAAGGCAAAGGCCCAATGTGTGAAGCCGGGTTGTTTGTCATGTGTGGTTTAGCGAGTTTCTTAGCGCGTGAGGTTTTGGGGTCTATCAAAGCCTGGTCCGTTGATGCAAATACTTCTCACGTCAGTCAGCGTCACACAAATCCCGCAAGATCCTCCTGCTCCCTTGGATGCACATACCACAAGCCTTTTCTGAAAGTTCCTACAAAAGCTGAGTCCCGAGTCCTCTTTTTCCTGCCCAAACCTTAAACTTTAATGTGCTCATGAAGAAAAGTTGTCAAACCCAAAAAACTCAAAAGGTCGCATTTGCCCGGAGCTCTGTATGAATGCTCCCTGGGAATGGGCCTGGAAGCTCCACGCGCGATGATGCGAATTCGGCTGTGGCAATGACGCTTCGGGGCTCCGGTGCATGGAGTTCCTCCTTCAAAAGCCCTTCCACATAATAGGTTTCCTTAGTTTCCTTGGTTTCCTTGGTTTCCTTTTGGCTATATTGGCTCGGCAACTCGAGGGCCTAAGCCGTACTTTCGACCCGACCTCAAGATGATGAAAGCGACGTTGTTTACACACGACTTCTTACATACGCTGAGCATGAAACCACAAAGGTGCTAATACTACTGGTTGCTGAACCCCACAACAACTCCAAACCACGCATAACGATGCCTTAACATCGCTTGCTGCGATCCGCGAAGTGTCTGACGAATCTGGCTGGCAAAAGCTCGGCCGCCGAAGCGAATGTCTTTCGTGCAGGAGTTTAAACGGATGCCGTAAACCGTGGTTACCCAAGCAACCAAGCCAAACCAGCCTGGTCGCTTCGGTACGAAAGCATTTGAGAGATTTGGAAAGGCGACCCCCCGCTGTCAAAGCTTCAAGCTTACACATGCAAGGTCGTCATTACCGAGATCCATCGGCCGGAGTCACGAGGCGCATGCACTCGCGGATGCTCAGAACTACAGTATAGTCGAACACTCTTGTTGCAGGGGCCATATAAGGACGAGAAAGAGCTACGAAACTTCCCGCACGCGGCCCTGTCACGGGTTTCGGACAAAGGATTGCCTGCGGCTCATCTTGGTTGCTTGAGGCATGTATATTGAGATTTCGGAATCTTCCAAGCCCAGAGAGCGCAAGCTGCCCGTGCCCTCAGCCTATGGGCGTTGTAGGTGCATTGTAGATGGACCTGAATTTGGAGGCAACCTACTGGAGCTCGAAGCTGTAATTCCACAAGCCCTCCCCCCCCCCCCCTTCTCAAAGATGTTCAACTGATTACCCCCCAAACCCTCAACGCGCGAACACCATGGCCTGGCGACTTCTTCCGCAGGCGAGCGCGCGAGCCCTTCCCCATGCCAGAGTTCTGTGAGCCCTCTGCAGGGCCGCCTGAAGCTCGAAGCCGAGAGGTGTTCACGTTGCTGTGGGGTTTCGGGGTTGAGAGTTGAGGGGTCGGGGGAGGGATTGGTCCGTTGCTTGGTTTTTCTGGCTCAGAAAGCCTGCGAAATTCGGGTTTAGGTGTCCACGTTCACTTGATCTTCAACTGGTGGGATGTGGAGTTTCGGGTGGCCTCGGCGTTCCCTTCACCTGGCACACGGCTCGGGCTTAGAATGCGGGACAGACACCTGCCAGTCCACATTGTTCACAAGAGTGGGGAGGAGTTCGCACCGTGTGCCTTCGTCAACCCTGCCCAGGCATCGCACTCGCAAGTGGTGGACAGGCCGGCGGGTTGAAGACATGTTTAGCACTGAATGGATTGCGATGTTGTGAGTGTGGAGTGTGGGGTAAGGCCTCAAGGGCTCTAGGACTTGTCGGGTTTAAGTGCCCTTCTCCCGAACCCCGAGTGTGCTTGGTGCGCATCGTCAGAACACGAATGATCAGCTTGGCTGTGGCCAAATAACACGACACGAGATAGACTGCCGTTCATACACGATCCTCACAATAATGTTCCACCAGGCAGTGTCACACGAGGGAGGGGCTTGGACCTTATGGCCCTTATGGCATGCTCGAGTCCTCAAAGCTCAAGAACCGCCTTTTGTTGAAAACGCGGCTGCCACTCTCGCGAGGGCACCTGCTTGGCAACATTATCGGATAGACATGCCATGACGTGCCCATCACGAGGCCTGCAGCCCTGGCCTTTGAGCCTTGCGCTGCGTATTTTGATGGGCTTCCTCAGAGGCACCACCAAGCAGCCCCCCCCCAGGCAGACTTGTCACACATAGTCTCAGGGTCCCTGCATATTATATCCACACCTTCTAGTGTGCGACCCAAACCTAAACTCATGAACTTTTCAGTGCCAGCACAAGTTGGCACGTTGGACATGGTGACACGTGCCCTGCCCAAAAGCCTTAAGGCATTCAAGCACAGCGTGTTCAAGAGCGCCCCAAAGGATTGCAACCCGTGGAAACTGAGCCCTTAGTCTCATAAGCGAGCCTGAACCGCACCCTCAAACTCCTTAAACCCTAAACCCCGAAACCTTCCAAGCGCAATTTTCTGAACCCTTCTCCCAGAACCCACCGGCGCGGCGGAGAAACTCCTTCCACGCGGGGCGCAGGGCAAGCCGCTGGGGGGCCCAGCGTGCTGTTAAACTTACAGCCTGGCAAGGGGGCTTGGGAGATTCCGCGAAATGCGAAATGAAAGCCAAAGCCCTGAACTTTAACGGATCTAACCGACCCTGAGGCAGAAGTTGCCACTCATCCGCAGCTCGGCTGCAAAGCGCCGGAGCGTTGGGATCAGCCTTGCGGAAGAGTCCTTCAGGTGAAGCCCTTGATTGCTTTCTCCAACTTCAGCAGCCTGAAGTCTCCACACATCTGCATGCACGACGGTGACATATCTGGACGCCTGAAAGCCCTTAAAACCACACCTTCAGCCTCATGCTGAACTCCATGCTGAAGCCCTGTATACCTCACAGTCTTCCTAGGTGAGCTTCGCCTTTGGCGCCCGGCAGCCGATGTGCAGCGAGGCCGGTTTTGCAGATGTCTTTTGCTGGCTTAGTTTGACCGCATGGCCCATATATTGCGAGGCCTTGATTTCTGCGAGCGTCCGTCCAGCAGGTATAGAGCATACCAAGCGTTGCGTTTTGTGTGTGCTTTTTTCATTGGGCGTATTCTCCGCGGACACGCTGGGGCGCGTTCTCCGCGGACACGCTGGAAGCCCAGCCAACTTTTCAGGCAGTACAAGGCTAGCCGGCTGAAGCTTAAAACCCGAAACCCAAAATTAGCCTCCAATTGCAACACGTCTCGTAAAAGGCCCCCTGAAGCCTGACGTCCCAGGAACGAGAGGAAAAACCGACACCCCACTGAAACCACGGGGGGTTTCGGGTGGCGAGAAGGCCTCGAGCGCACCTGGCCAGCGCCCCGTCGCCGCGTCTCGGGAGAGCAGTGGGCGACTTGGAGCGGGCGCTTATGTGATTTGACAACAAGTTGAAGCTTGAAAGCCCAAGCATGGTTTTGCGGGATATGCTTCGGTCCGGCTTGGAGAGGTAGCTCAAATATGTCAATGCTCTCCAAACTCCACACCCTATGCCCTAAATTCCTCCTAGACTCCGATAGCACTGAAATTACTCTCGACCACCGACTTTGACCACGCTTAGACTTCTTGTTCAAGTAAACCTGTCTTTGCTTCCAAGCAAGTAGGGGTTTATAGGGCGCTCGTGACTTCAGTCGCCTCCAGCATGGTCAGCGTATCTCGTGGTCGTGCTATGAAGGTCACCGCAAATGCTGAGCCGTGGGAGTGGGTTTTAGTAGCTTGGGGCTGTGATGTCGGATGGTGACAGTTGTCTTTGAGTGCCCCCTTCGCCCCCTCCCCCCCCAAACCCCACCCCAACAGCACCCAACAAAGCACAAACCCAACGCTGCTACCAGGCTTCCTGCTGTGGAGTCCGCTGCTGCGCAGGCTGCATTTGTGCTGAGAAGGATATTGGGCCTTCGACACGGGTCGGAACACCGCCACAGAAAACTAGTACTGTATGCCTTGGCTTCACGAAGCTTCGTTGGGGGTCAAGTTTGTTGTATAGGTGCAGTGTTTCAGACGCCGGGGCCTTACAGACTTGCCCTTTGCGCTGTGCATTCAGCATGGGCACATGTATCAAAGTTGTTTTTTCTATTCAGCATGCGATACGGCGATTCGTCTCAACATTCCACTCGACGGGTTTGCAGTACTCGATCAACAATGGCTGAACGGGCCTAGCCCTCAATCTTCAGCTGAAGGCCGTCAACTATGGCATTGGATTCGTGAAGAACCGTGAAGACCCCCTTAAACCTTAAGGCCTTAAGGGCAACACAAAACATGTCTGCAGCAGCTCGCCGCTCTTCCTCGCTGTGGTTTCGAGATGTTCTTTTACACTTCAGGAGGGCCTTGAGTCGGTTCTTATGTTTTTTTTTTGAGGGGCTTGTGGAGTTCCACTGAGCTTTCCGAAGTTCTGCACTCACACTTTTGGGGGCGCACCTCTCAGAGCTTAGAACTCCCATGAAGTCCCAGTTCTCTAAAGCCGATCTTCGCCCCTCTACTCCGATGTGCAGGTGGCAAAACAGATGGCGCTGCTCCCCAAGTCTGCCAGGTACGCCACTTCATCTCCAGATCTGATTTGTTCTTGTTGGGGTGGAGATGGAGGCTTGTGTTGGAAGTCAAGGACAGCTTCGGATTCAGAAGTCAAGTAGACGGCTCTACATGCACGCCGTGAAGTGGGAGGAAGCCGGCAAGCTCACATCTCCAAAACGATTTGTCCTTTCCGCCCTCTCTCCTCGTCACATCCTGAAAACCGAACTAGGCGCTCAAAGAAGTTCACGGGCTCTGCGCAAAGGAGTGTCACGAAAACATTTGCGGATCCTCTGAACAGCTTCCCCACTGAACTCAAAACTGCAGCCCAATCTCCAACAGGAAAAGCTTGAGGGCACTGCTGCTACTAAACATACGAAACGAAGTGCAGCAGAACTTCCACAGCCGGATTGGTGAAACAAAGGGTGTTGCTGGGGACCCCACCGCCAGGCTCAAGAGCATCGATGCCTGGAAGCTGAAAGAGTCGAAGTGGCTCTGGTCCCGCTTCCCAAAGTTTCAGAGGGCTTTGCAGAGTTGGGGGGGGGAGGGTAAAAGCAAGCAGGGAGGCTCAGCAGCCTCCCCAAACTGAAGCCGTGAGTCACAAGCTCTGCCCAGTGCCTTGAAGCAAGCAGCTTTCTGCACCCTGTGAAGCACTTTCGACTGACCGTGTTTGCTTGCGATTGCTTGCAACTTTCGGCTCTTGAGGTTGCAAGGATGAACCCGCAGTTTGCTTGACGCTAACGTCGCACCTGCGCCATGTATGCTGCTGCCGTGGACTCGGTAGTGGCAACAGAGCTAATTCTTCAGGAGGCAAGCTTATCCAGGCTGCAGATCGTGTGCTTTCTGGTTTCATGTACATTGCCGCTGATTTACTTCCTGTACCAGTTCATGCTGGAACAGTACGGCCATGGACAGGCCGGAGGGTGGACTGCCCCGAACGAAGCAGTCTCTCCTCGGCAGGCCTTTGTTTCAGACACGGACTTTCAGATTGGCAGGCTGCTCAATGAGCAGTCAGACAAAGCCAAGCCAGTCAGCAGAAGAGGTCAAATAGGTCAAATAGGTCGGTTGGCTTGGTGGACTTGGCGGACTCCCCATGATGCCTCTAGCAGCTCTAACTCGCAGATAGACTCTTCGCGAGCCGCTATAGGCGCTAGAACGTCGAGGTTTGAGGTGGCGAACAAGCAAGCCCAGGAAGCGACATGGAAAGCAGGTTCGCAATGCTCGGAATGTTCGGAAGGCATGGATGACATGGATGTACAAGGAGTCAGGGAGTTCATGGAGGAGCTGCCTCAAGTACTGCCATTTCAAAGTCTGCATCACGAGCGGAGCTTTGCCATGGCACAGGCTCCCGGCGAGCCGCAGGTGCTGCCCTTGCCTGCAGGGTGGACTTCCCCAGACCTGCCGCATGTCCTTCCGTTCCAGACACGGCGGGGTCTCGAGCGCCCAGAACAAGCGCCAGGACATGTTCCGCCCATGCCACCCATGCCATTCCAGAAGAAGCAGCGTGATGCGAGTCTTGGCCATCTTCTGCCCTTTCAGAAGTGGCGGGATCTGCAGGAGCTGAAGCGCACGGCGCTGGAGCCAAGTGCATGGCCGCCGTTCGGTCGTGACAAGTACCCACAGGATCAGAGCCATGGGGCCCAAGACGTAGTTCAACCAGCGGCAACCAACTGGGATGCGCAGCTCCTCCCGGGCCTATCTCTGGATGCACCCACGAACTTCGTACAGGACTTTGCTCAGGACGCCATGAGACATGAGGATGCTCCGAATGCTCCAACTGCTCCGAAGACGGCGCTGCGGGGCTCCCTGCGCCTTGCAGCCCTCTTGCCGGTGCCATCGGTGCTGCCTTCGGCTTTGTGCCCTCCTCCGGAGCTTCCGCCTCCGCTGCCTCCGCCACTTCCGGTGCCGCCACCTCCAGCGCATGTTGCATCCATAGGGGACGACAACATCCGGCCATGCCTGATGCGGCACTTGAGAGAAAGCCTGAGTGAAAGTAGCATCCCATCAGAGTTGAGCCAAAGCAACCCGCTGATGATCGCGAGCATGGGGAGTTTTGGACATCCTGACATGTGCTACCGGCCCTGCGTGTACCTGGGGAAGGGCAGCTGTAGACGTGATATTTTCTGCACACACTGTCACTTCGATCATGAAAAGACATACAAGCTGGGCAAGAATCAAAAGAGGTTCATTGCAAAAGAATTGGACGAGGTGTCTGTGCTGGCAGAGCTACTGCCCTGCATCCAAGCAAAGGCCACCGAACGTGGCCTGCAGCAGGAGGTGAGCAACTTGTGCTCTGTGATACAGCGCCGAGTGGATTTTCTCAGCAGCCATCTCAGCCTGCGTTCGGTTCCTGCGGAGCTGACGCGCTCACTGAAGCGGCTGTCTTTGCACACACTTACGGGCATTCTCATTCGAAGATCGGACTTTGAGCCTGAGTTCATGGATGACCTGACCATTGCAGTTGCGCAGTTCCGGGCCGCGGTTCCCACCTCGCTGCGATCGATCCACGAGGGTACCCCAGATGATGCCGGTGAGTACGATGCCTCTGCGATCGATCCGCGAGGGTACCTCAGTGACCCCAGATGATGCCCGTGAGTACGATGCAGACTATTCGGCAAATGTCTCATCCCGGATTGTGGCGTCGACCTGAAGTGCCCATTCTGGGCAATTAGCCCCATGAGACTTAAGTATAACGGGTCATTTCAATTCGAACACCATGGTTTCACTCTAAATTAAGGTTTTTTCCCCTGGTGCAGTCCGGCTGTCGAGTCGGCGGGGACCTCGTTGCGCAAGCCAATGCGGCATTGCCAACAATGGAAAACAAGTCAGTGTCCAATTGGCCGTTCAGCGAAGTTGTGCGTTGAACATGAGCCATAAATGAGGGGGGGGGGAATTTTGCATAGTTTTCTGGCAGACCAGTTGCTCTCATGCCAGGCGTGCTGTTTGCGAAGGCGGGCCAACGGACCCCAGCCGAGCCTCGCAGGAAGAGGACCCCCCCAATTAGCTGATGTTGCGGTTGGGCTGCGGGGGGGAGGGGGGTGTAGAAAAACCTGACCTCGGTATGTTTTTCTTAGTTTTCCATCTTTAGGATCAGGATCTTGTTTTCATCGGAACTGACCAGCCCAAGGGTCCAGGGAGGGCCGACCTCCCCCGAACGGGAGTCCTGAAACCCCCCCCCCCCCCAGAAACTCCTTTTGTTAAGTCGTTGCCTCATACGGTAGGTCACTGCACCGAAGTACCCCAAGACCAGCATATACCCGACACCGATACTTTCCTCGGAGAGGAGAGGTTGGGCAGCCTCCAGGATCACTTCCAGCAGCCCCGCCCTGAGAGCACATTGGACCCGAAGCTCGTACTGGTAGGTTGCTGACAAAAAGGGGGCTCCTTATCAACCCGTATGAACCCTCCAGAAAACCCCCTTTTAAACCTTATAGACCCTTATAGACCCTCTTAAAAGAAACCTACTTGAAAACCCCTACAAAGCCACAGTTTAAAGAAGGCGAAGACAGGGCATGGCCTCCAGGGAGCTCGGTTTTCAAGAGCATTCCGCACTTGAAGCGAATGCCGCACTCATCTTTTGACAAACTTCCCCTACTCCAGCTCAATAATCATAATAATCGGTAAGAATATCTATTATGATGATAAGCAATAATCAGAAGAAAAATAAGAGCTATAAGAGCCCTCGACGCGAAGCTCGCCAGCTGGACGGAGAGCCCGCCAGCTCACTCCAGTCCACCCCATGAACATTTGATCTGGCCTTGGGTTCATTCAGAAGTCAGGATGGATCAAGGAGCTCCAGCGTCATGGATGGAGGGCTCCTATTTTGGGCAGGTCCAAGTCCCCTCGCCCTACACTCGATATTGTAGAGCCACAGCCGCCGTCCCAAGCTCTTCAAGCGGCAGCAAAGTCACCGAAGAACTCCAGATCGAGACAAAGCCAAGCTCCGGAGCCCAGGCTCTACCGATGCGTCCAGCAAACTTGCTTCGCCCAGTGGGCTGGGACCCCAGATTGCCTGGCTGTCGCGACAAGGTAAACGAAGGGTGCGGAGACTAGGGCTTCTTTGGCACCCACATGTTTGTCCTTTGTTTCCTATGCCTGGCCCTGTGGTGCCCATGCCGCCTGAAGCAAGAGGAGGCTTCTTGACTATCATTGGCCGGCTTTTCTGAGGGTCTTTGCGAGCTGAATGAACGTATGGACTTGCAGGTATGGCCGTTTTGCCAGGGACCCTATCCTGAACGCACCGCTGGACCTGACGAAGTTTATTTCAGAAGGCATGCGTGGAATGATGCAAGAGGAACACGAATCAGTCTTCCTTGAAAGAGTACGATCAGAAGCGCAGGGGGGGTGAGCAGTTGTTTGGAATGACTTGCAATATCCTTTTGTTTTGGCGTGTACTGTTGCCAAATGTGTTGCAAGAAATGCTTGCACTGATGGTTCGACCAGGCCTCCAAGGAACATGACAATTCAGCACGTGCTTCTAGATCTAATGAGACACGTGCATTTCCAACAGAAACGGGGCATCATTATTAAGGAGTTGGGCTTACGTCGAGTTCCTGTCGTCTCAGGTGGCACTCAACTGCGCCGCGGAAGTGCAGGCGCGGGTTTGACGCAGCGCACAATTGAAACCCCTCCCTCAAAAACAACTGAAGCCGGAAGCCCTACTGTAGGCCCACCCGCCCCCCAAACCCCAAACCTTTCGAAATGCCGCATGCCAGATAGGCCAAGCAGCCTCAAGATCCTAAGAGCCCAAGAACAGAAACATGATTTATCTTTCGCCCCGATTGCCACAGGACGAAAGATGTGCATGTTAGTACCGCTACGAGCCTCCATCAAAGTTTTCCCTGGCTATGCCCTTCGCAGGCATAGTCCATTGTCTGTCGGGTACTAGCACACATGATCTTACTCAAACTTCTCCCAATGGATTGGTCTGCTGTAGGTGCCAAAAAGAACCCAGCAGCCACTTTCATGGCACGGAGGTTGGACAGGTGAGAATTCGCACAAATGCTAGACTCATTGGTCCGTGCTTCAAGACGGGTCGAATGGAACTTATAGCTAATCAACCATACAAACCACACACACACGAGAATCAGCCAGTGGAGAGTGTTTGCCGAGCTCTGGGCGTAAGGGGGTACGGGGGAAGCTTGCTAGCTCGTCGCCAGTTGGCGTAGCCTTTGAACCCTAGAGCCTTGAGCTTCAGAGCCCTGTAACCCAAGTCCTTGCAAGCAATATCCAAAATGAATCGATCAAGTTGCGAGCCTGTTCAGAGATGCCTTCGTGAGGCACGGCCAGTGAAATCTGGCTGCTATGCAGGAGGTGCCCCTCGTTGCTTCCCTTTAATCCCTTCCATCGAGCCATACACACCATTCCTTTGGCAGATGGCTTGGTCTAGAGAATGCTCACTAGGTTCGGTCAAGTGCGCATTGAACTATTTTGTGTTGTTGAGTGGGTGTATGCCATCAAAGGCAGGCACTAGACGCAGATCTCGCGGGCTGCGGCAACTGCCCCCCTTACGCTGTGAGCCCTATTGCAGGGAGGGGTTTTGGGGCACATTGCCAGTAGACTCGCTTGAGGGGATTCTGACCCCAAGTCTTCCAACATGTCGGATTGTCTTCGAATCTCACGGGTCATTGCGCAAGTCTCTAAGAGACACACACACACACACACACACACACGCACACGCACACGCACACGCACACGCACACGCACACGCACACGCCCACGCCCACGCCCACGCCCACGCCCACGCCCACGCCCACGCCCACGCCCACGCCCACGCCCACGCCCACGCCCACGCCTGCACGCACGCCTGCACGCACGCCTGCACGCACGCCTGCACGCACGCCTGCACGCACGCCTGCACGCACGCCTGCACGCACGCCTGCACGCACGCCTGCACGCACGCCTGCACGCACGCCTGCACACACGCCTGCACGCACGCCTGCACGCACGCCTGCACGCACGCCTGCACGCACGCCTGCACGCACGCCTGCACGCACGCCTGCATGCACGCCTGCACGCACGCCTGCACGCACGCCTGCACGCACGCCTGCACGCACACCTGCACGCACACCTGCACGCACGCGCACACGCACTCCTAAACCCTAAGCCTTAAAGACCTATCCCAGACCATGAAGCCCTGAGCCCTTGACCCATCGCGTGGAGAGGTGGTGGCTCCTTGCTTCCACCGCAGATGAAGAGCGAACGGCAAACCAGTGAGGACCGCCTGGGTGAGACTTGAGCCGGGATTGCATTGCTGAGGGCTTGATTATGTTCTCAATTCTCAAGGTTGGTGAGACAGGGAAGAGCATAATAGTCTATAGAGTTTTGTCTCGTTAGTTCGTGGCGCTTCTGCGTACGTTACCGGACGTAGGTGTTGGCACAGCTGCGACGAAGACTTCAAAGCACGACGCCTGAAAGAGGCCACGACCCAAACTCGAAACCCATACCCCCAGCTAAGCCCCTGAAAAGCCCCAGGGAACGTCCCCGAACCGCAGACCTTCACGCCCGTCATCCCGGTGCCTGGTAGGCGCCGCAGCTCCACTCGCCCGTCACAGCCAGTTTCGTCCCCAGTGTGCGGCAGTAGATGCCTCTGGTGATTGCGGGTAAGGCCTTATTCGGCCTAGAGGTAGCTTCCTTATACAGACTCCACCCCGAACCTCCTGCAATCCCTGATGAAGAAGCTTGCTGTTTGGGTTCCGAGCTAAACCCACACCTTTTCATACCCTCATCTCGAACTCCACGGCATGCTACTCCGACATGATACTACAAGAACCCTCAAGCGAGTTAGGTACCTTCTGACCCTTTAAGGGAGTGTACCGGAGAATTAAGGGATACCAATCCTTTCTAAAGACCTTGGAAGTGAACCAGAGGCGCCACCTCCCTAAACCCTAAACCCCTAAACCCCTAAACCCCTAAACCCCTAAACCCCTAAACCCCTAAACCCCTAAACCCCTAAACCCCTAAACCCCTAAACCCCTAAACCCCTAAACCCCTAAACCCCTAAAACCTAAACCCTAAACCCCTAAACCCCTTTCTCATACTTGCAGGTAGTCATCCTTGGCCGCTGGACACCTCGGAGCCTTGTGCGATGCCCAGCAAAGATCCGAAGCGAAGCAAAGCCTATGGGCTTCAGGTTGGTACGTTCAAAGTGAGAGAGAGAGAGAGGAGGATATATATGTACATACATATGTATAATATATATATATATGAATTTAGATTTAGATTTGGATTATAATTTGTATATATGATGTATTCATGCGCAAAACTACTTTGTATTCATTTATGCGCGAGCCGGACCCCCTCCCGTGCGACCTACCCGCAAAAGGGGACAGACACTCAGACACAGGTATCCCGGGTCCAAGGATCCAAGGTCCAACATGACGTACAAAAGCTGCGGGAGTTGCCTAACGTAGGCAGGTCACCGGGTGGGTGGGCGGGTGGGGGTTTGCTTATAGATAGAGATGCTTCAGGGCTTCAAGTCGGCCTCGGAGCCTACGTTTGCTTACTCCGGGCTTTTGGAGGCTCCGAAAGCAGCCCACTTTGGGGGGCTGACAGGGGGTTTAGAGGGGTTTAGGGTTTAGGGTTTAGGGTTTAGCACTCTTGCGGAGTAGACAGTTGGCGACGTGCACGCTGAAAGGGCCGGAGAGTTGGGCTTTCGGGAAGAGATGGTCAACCATCCTGTTAACCACCCTGCAAGAGTTCTTGAATAAATCTGCTAGTTCTGACAATGGAGAGTTGTGGACTTCGGTACCTCTTGGATAGCCCTTTTGAGGGGTCATGAAGAGTCACATAGGGAGCCGATTCCTGGAACTCGTTACTAAGAACCACGTGAAGAACCGCGTAAGCGATGTGCCCCTTTTTCTCCCCCCCGAAACCTGCCAAAGCTCCCAAAAAAAGGCGACCAATGTGGGCAGCGGGCCTTGGCCTTCTTCATTCTGCAGGCCCCCCCCCCCCCCCCGAAAGCCCGAAGTCCGCTTTGAATGCTTCAGGGTTCCGGTTTTCCCTAAACCCTAAACCCCTAAACCCCTAAACCCTTAAACCCTTAAACCCCCAAACCCCCAAACCCCTAAACCCCTAAACCCGGAACCCTCTTCTGATTTGTTGGAGATTTTGGGGCGTGCTGGGCCTCGGCTTGATGAGCTTAGGCTTAAATGGCCTCTGAGGGCTGAAGGGCCGGGCTACTGGGAGGCGCGTTCGTGAGGCCAACTACCCTGAGCTTGAGCATACGTAAGTTCAGTGATAGGCTCAACGTTCTTCCACATACTACTACACCCCAGCTCCAGTAACAGCGGCGCCCAATCTGCGACCTGTGCGGCCAGCACGTCTCGCATGCAGAGGGTCCATGCTAACTAACAGCCGGGATCTTCGTGGTCTTCGACCCCCCCCCATGAGATGCGTGGAGCGTAGACTGGTGGAGGACGTAGAGGGGAATATCGAGCCCTTAATAGGGGCGCCTCCGAACTTCGGTGTCCAGCTTCTGCTTCCCCAGACCGCTCCAACAGGGCTCCCTGATGCAGCACATCTGGGAGTGCGAGGCCGATCTTTGTGACTGCGGTACCCGGGGACTTCCTGGCAGTTTCCCGAAAGAGCCCAAGAAGCCAGGCTTTCACTTTCTTTCTTTGGGGGGTCCAGGCTGCGGTTGGGGGAGGGCATCCCTAGCTGAGGCGTGCGTTTGGCACGAAATGTTTTTGGTTTAGTCTCTGATCCAAACAGCAGCGCGAGTCCAGATACCTGTAGCCAGTGCCCATCTGCTTCACAACTGCTGTGCGGCGGAAACAAATCCAAAGCTCCCAACCTGACCATCCTTGACCGACCTGCGAGCCTAGCATCTGGAAGCTGTAAAGATGCGCCTTAAACCTTAAACGCC